ACAGGAGTCAGCAGTTTTATCCATAAAACAAAGTAAACACTAACCAGTGAGCTTCGCGAGCGTAGCGAGCTCACTCGCGAAGCTCAATGGTTAGTGTTTACATTGTTTTATGGTTAAAACTGCTGATTCCTGTGATCTAGGCGTTACCCTGTTTCAGTGTTTGAATCTCGTAGATTGAAACTAGTTCAGCCAATTTTGTGTTGCTTTTGAAGTGTATACTTTTGACGACCACCCTTAAGTACCTTTCAAAGTAAAATCAAGTTGACATAATAATGGAGAGTTGTTGTCAGTATGTGTGTACATACACTATCACATTGAATTTTTAGAGTACTGGCACCATATGCTTCAGTACTTTCATCTGTGAAGACCCAATTGCTAACCCCACCATGCACTAGAAAGATCATTATGTGGGGACACAGGTGCTTATAATGACCAACGAACAGGTAAATTTTTGTTTTGGTAGTGAAAGTGTCTGTATCTCTAAAAATTCTAAATAAAGTGAAATTTTAATTGCATTCTCTTGATATTGCATTCACACAAGTTTATAAGAATTTGATTTATATTTTGAAAAAAGTGTGTGATGCACATGATATTTATGATTCACGATTATACATTTAAACACACTATTTAAACACACAATATTTATTCGAATTTATGCCCAGAAAGGGAACAAGCAGTCTAGACTGCTGTGGTATTTTCAATTTAGTAAAGTATGTGGTTAGAATTTCCATTTTCTCAATTTTTCACTCATGTACATGTATACATGGGTGGTCAAACTATATTCACCGGATGGCTATATATCAACACTCCCATGTTCATGAACAGCCTTGCCCCAGGAATTTTGCCCTGAAGTAACAGTTTTCAGTCCATTGTGTCCTTTCTCTTAACAACCCTGACAGCCAGGTATGCTATTTCTTTTAGTTCAATAATTCAACCATGATGGTTTATTACTAGGTTGATGATTTTTCAGTCCTGATACATTGACTTAACCAAATCATTTAACTACATGAATCACATAAATATACTTTTAATTTTAAAAGGAAAATTACATCAATGTATTAATTGTCGCATTCTAATTTTATATATGTAAATTCACATAATCTTTTTCAAAATATTTAAATCTTTTACAGGATAGTAGCTGATTACATGTACATGTACTTGACAGAAAATGATCATGTCTTAGACAACTCAAAGAAATTCCTCCAGTCTTTCAGAGAAATGACAGTTGATGAAAGAATGGTGGCCACAAAATAAAAGTGCTCTGGTCTTCAACATTTTGTGGAATATTAAATCAGTCTGATTTGGAATTCAGCTTGCAATATTTCTGGATTTGTATATTTGTATAAAAACATAACTTTTTCAACTTATTGACTAAACAGTTTTGCATTAGATATTGCCAATGCAATCTATTAATATTTTTTTCCTCCAAGAAGACATGTCAAGTCTTTATTGTACCCCTTAAGCACTGTTACCAGAAAAACCTTGTAATGAAATCAATTAGTTTATTTTTTCTTGTTAAATTTAAAGTCGGGGAAAAAATCAATGAAGCATAGGGTATTTTTAATGGCATCAAGAACATGGATTTGTTTTTGTTTAGCAGAAAGATTATATACATGTTGTAGTTACTGTTATGTAATTTTTACATCACTGTTCAGCCAGACCTTTTTGTCATTTTTTTTTCTTTTGGAGTGAGAAAAAAATTTAAAAACCTTATTAGCCACATTTTTCATGAAATGTATAGGACCTGTGGGTCTGTCAATTTAATTTGCACGTAAATATGCATCATAAATTGGAACAAAGTTGCACTAGTGGAAAGTACTGTTTATTTTTTAATTTACTTGATATTATGGTTGTGATTTTTTTTTTTAAATTAGAACACAAGAAACCCTGTTTGTAAATTGTACTTCAAATTTTTGACAACCTGATTTTTAATTACTTGCATTGTCAATTTATTATTGCCTTGAAAGACCAAATCAAATGTTTCTCATCAAACATGGCTAGTGAATGTCGTCTTCACAAGCGAAGGGATTTGCTGTTCTTCTCACAAACCCATGGTCTATCTTGCTATCAAAAGTCAGGATTATTTTCACAAGTTGTGGTTAGAGTTTATTGACATCATTTGACCAATCAGCAAGTTCTATAGTAAATGACGATATCTTCATTCAGGATATTTCTTGACTCTCTAGTCTCAGTAATAAAAACCCTTGTAAACAATGATTCATATTAAGATAACATTCCATTCTTGAAATTGCTATGGCATATCATCCAACGTGAAGATTATGTGCACATAATGTAATCTGGAACCTATATTGCAGATAAAGACTTGCAAACTTACTAACAAATAAACATGTCTGCTTGTTAATTATTTTTCAGATACTTCACGTTTTATAAATGCTCTTTATTTCTATGAATGATGCAAGCTGTGATTCAAGATCAGGTGACTTAAACAATCCTGATTTTTGATAGCATGATAGGCTAAGGGTTTGTGAGAAGAATAGCAAACCAGAATCCTTTGCTTGCAAAAATGAACAAATGCATGTCACATAAATAAGATGAATGAAAGAATTGTAATGCAAAAGCCACTCATTTGAAAAAGAGATTCCAAGTTCCATCCATTGTCCATCTTGTGAGGTTTCTTCATGCTTATCAAATGAAAAAATTGTTTTAACAAGTAACTCAGTAAAGACAGGAAATCTGTTAAAAATTGGAAATTTATGATAATTCTTTTTTTTACCATATTATTTTAATATGTGTGTCATTAACGTTGAATTATATGCAATCACATCTTACAAATTTTATTTCAGTTCACAAATTTTAGATGGATTTATGGAATGGCAACCAAGATATGCAAAATAAAAAAGATTAATTCATTTTTATAAATTTCTCTCAGGATTTTGTTGTTCACAATTTGTTTACGTCATCTATTAGATGATATATCCGTAGTGATTGCAGCATTTCAAAATTGATATATACTTGCAATTTAAGGCAGAATTCTGTACTGATATGACCTTGACCCCCCCTAAGAACAGAAGTGTCAAGGTCAATACTTAATTCAATAATGTTCTTTACATTATTTTGGCCCATATCTTACTTATAGTATCATGGAATTCACAAAAAGTGTCTAGAATGAGCAATAACAAACATACAATGTATACAGCCAAAAAATAAAAAAAAATGTTGTTGCTAAGCAACCACTTAAAGGTCATTTAACAAATATTTGAAATGAAATGGTGTATGGATATTGCAGTTCTGATGATTTCTTCAGAGTATATTCAGAATTTTCTATTTCAGCATCCATTGTGTAAAATTTTAGCAAGAATATTGAAAAGCGTTGAAAAAAAGTTGATGAAATTTTTGCACTAATTTGACCTTTGACCTCCTAAAAATAGTGTTAATGAGGTCAAACTTTAAGACAATTTATCTGCTGTATATTCCTTTTAATTTTATGACCTCATATCTGACTTTAAAATGTGCTGGAATGCATGAATGTATCTAGGATGAGCAAAAAACGAAAATTACTGCCCGAAAATTGAAAAATACTCCGTTGCTAAGCAACCCCTTTAAAGTCATTATATGCAGAATTGAAAAAAAAGTTTATGTAATTCATGAAGCACAGTATAATGCTCTTTTGTGAGTATATTCCAAATTTCCTATTTCAACATACATCATTGTTAATTTTTAGCTTGAAGATTAAAAAGTATCGAAAAATTCCATAAAATTTTGCACTTATTTGACATTTGACCTCCATTTCTACTAATAAGGTCAGTCGGTGGGTATCTGAATAGTCATGAAATATCATCTCTAAGAAATTCCCTACAAAATGGTATGCATTATGCCTAGCTTTCTCCTTGGATTAAAAGGTTAGAAATAATTTGATAATGCTCTGTCAAAAGGTCTCCAAAATCACGTAAAATGTACCGGTAGAGAAAGGGTTAAACAAATGCGATGTAAATTTGGAGGAGCAATATCAAAAGAATGGAAAATTCAGAAATACATAGGTAAGCTTTCATATGTATTCAAGCCAAAAGGAGAAAAAAGGCGAAAAAGGATTATGGCGGCGTTTTATGGAAAAAAAGAGATGAAAAACCAGGGAGCTTATGAATTTAAAACCCATTCAGTTTTTGCTACATGTTAATTGCTTATTTTCTGTTTTCATTTACTTACATTTTAATTTCCTTCAAACCCTATAAATGTTATCAAGTATGGGAATACTAAAAGAAACATAACAGAAACATAAAGTCACTTTCAAAAGGAATGTCATCATTTACGTTATTCTAGCATGCTTTATACAGTCTTCAGCAATAAAGAGGGTATGAACTATGAGGTCGATGTTTTCATGGTTAACGTTTGGACAGATAAAAATAATCGTTAGAAGTAATGGGCGTAATAATGATCACATTTTTATTATTGCTTTGATACTTTTACAAGCTTAGTTTTATGCAGACAATTAAATTTAAAACTTATATGTGGAAGTTGCTCGTAATTCGTCTTGTCTTGCAGTATCCCTATCTCAGCCCCCCCCCCCCCCCCCCCCCCCGCCCGTGGCCTATTTGAAGTCACAGATATATATTTTTGAGAATCATGTATGAATGATTTCAACTAAACATTTTAATTGAAAATAAAATATACCAAGTTTACAAGAAAATTAACACCACTAAATCCCTTACTAAGCATGTAACATCTGAAATGTTTTTTTATATCAGTTGTGCAAATATCCAAAATAATTATATGAAGCGGTTTTGCTTAAAATTTTTCATCTCATAAGTTCCAAATATCAACACTATAAAAACCTTATTTATCTCAAGTTAATTTGTTCATAAAACAATAGGTCAAGAAAAAATTCTTGGATATTTTTTTATATAAACGATGCTCATTTGTCTCTCATTTCCTAAACGTGATTAATGATGATAATTTATGTAATTCGAGATGCTAATCATGACATTTCTATTATACTGGAACTTAATCATTGCTTCGAATTAAAATTAAAATAACAATCTTACCCATTTTACAGTACGTATGACCGTTGACGACACACTTCTGTGGATTACCAGGACAATGTTCTGTACAGTTTGATCCATAGTAACCCTCACTACAGTAGGCCTTGTACGTTATCTGGATACTGAAATAAGAGTAATATGTTCATTAACTGCTTTGCCATTTTTATTAAAGGTAAAAGGTGTTTTAAGTTAATGTGTGATTGTAAGGGTCGTTTATTTAGTTGGTATGAATAAAGAACAACTTACAAAAAAGAATTTTTATCCGAGAAATAATTAGCTGTCAATTTCTTTTGTCGCCAATGTTGTGAAAGTATGTTGTTTCCTATTTGAAGATTGTAGTCAGAGAACTCTGTCTGGTAGATGAGTGGTGAGGAGGAGTGTTGTGAATCTCGTACTTCAACACGTATCCTGTCCAGATATTTATTCTGTATTGCAATATTAATAAAATTCTGAGAAAAAACTTAAGGGAGTAAATTCTTTTTTTTTTTCAAATTTCACAGAAAAAGAGTTTGCTTGAAATAAATATACCCATGAAAATACTTCTAAATAATGCGGATTTGTTGAATTGCCAAGTTTTGAACCATACATGACATCCTGTCGTCTCATGTTTAATGTTGTGGTAAAGCGTGATAAACAAGAGTGATTTGTGCCTCTGTAGCAAAGAAAAAATACATCATAAGTATGATCGTTTCTTTAAGGTTTACTATGAAACTCAAAAGAGTAGGACTACTCACATAAGATATACGGTGAGTACAGGTTTACACAACTTGGTACAAATGCTATCCACAATACCCTGACAACAGCTTCCTCCATGAAGTTTATTACCTGTACTCTTCGCTTCATCTATGTGAATGAAGAAAGTTGTCTTTGCAAATGCCACCTTTAGGGAAAAAAAACGTATAAAGATTAAAAGAATATTTGCATTTGTTTAAAATAATTTTTCATAACTATGTATAGTTATGAACTTTTACTTGATACTGTTTTATGTATTCGTTAATGATATTGAAAGAAAGAGTATTAAATCTTTGGAATCAAATTAATAAATTTCATTTGTAGAATTAGGGGCCAAATTATATTTACGTTTTGCTTTTGGCGTTGTATTTTATGTATTGTATTTCGCGGAAGGTATCTTCCGCTAAATTAAGTACGTCGTGAAATGTTTTGTATGTACATATTTATACATAGCTCGTTCAGAAATCTCTAAATCAAATCTCCCCTTTCTTGTAAAATTAATTTACACTTAATATCGAATTTGCTTAATTTCATACAAAATACCGTATAAAATTTTTGTTTCATTTAAGAAATCGATATTTTCTCAGTCTCACTTTCACAAGGGAGTTGAAATTGGAAATGTGATACTGAATTCAAAAGTTAGCTCATCAAAGGCCCCGAAGCCAGTTGCATACATGTAGTTAATCAATAATGAGCTTGTTTTGTTACTTTTGTCAAATCACAATTCATTTCCTTTTGGAAATCTTCTGGCAATCAATCCACAAGGGACTGAATTATTTTTGATTGTTTTTTATATTGAGTTTCTGTGTTTATTTTTTAATACTTTTTAATTGATTGTATGTTGCTTAACGTTAACGTTCCTATTTCCCCCTTATATAGCAACTTCACGATGTTCCAATGATCGAAGGGCTTCAAATTAAGGCCTTCCATTTACTCGGCTCTCAGGGCCAAAGAGCAGTGAGGGATCTTTATCGGACGAACCTCTACCATGACATGGGACTCAATTTTCAGGTCTCATTTGAAAGACTTGCAACCTTCACTTCAGAGTGCAGAAAGATTGGTTTTCAATTTTTTCCTGTTATCTCGACTAAGGTCGGTCGCTACCGAGTCTGTAACAGACCTTTCATTGTAAGAAACACATTGTCAAATTGTGTAAAAGAATTGTTAATTAAAATAAATATGTTGATAAAATTGTTTTTGGTGAACATTACATTGTGCGTGAATGCTACGAGAAAGATTTATTCGACTAATGCTGGAAATAGTTAAGAAAAAAGATTTTAACAAAATTTAAATGGTTGTAATGAATACGTGTTACTAAGAGTGATTGTACGCTTTTTTTTAACTGTGAAGGGAAGAATAACAGGCATAATTACATTAATGCAAAATTTGATAGAGCGCACTTTTATCTGCAAGCAAAAGAAGTTGAGACACTTAAACAGAATAAATGAAGATAAGTTCGAAGTTCGAAGTGTTACACATGAAACCACTGTTGAAGGAGCCATATGCATGCTTAAGGGAACTGATCTGAATTTCACATTTCATCATTCTTTCCAAATAATTAATTATTCTTCTGAAGTCAAAGTATATTTATACTGCATTATTTCTTTGTGGGGATCGTCGAAGAATTCAAAATTGTAGGCCTAATACAAGCTTTTAAAGAATGCCTCAGAAATCGCATTACAGAAAAATGAAAACGAAATGAAATACATTTAGATAATTTAAAATTGTTGCTTGTTAAGAGGTAATGGATTACTTTTTACTTACTTTTACTATAAACATCCAGAGCAAAAAAATCACTTTGTGCTTTTGTTCACCCATAATTCAGCCCTTTATTTCAGTATACCGTCCTTTGCTGATCATTTATAGACAAATATTATCTTCCAAAAAAGATAGATTTAAATGCTTATCTTAAAAATGTCAAATACAGATAGAGGTAGCAGATTTAAGGAGATGGACACGTTGAATATTTATTTGCTGCTTATATCTTGCGATAGTTTACGGGAAGGAAGAAGTGGTGCTTAGACTTTGTATAACTAGCTTGTTGTCCTTCGCATCTTGAGATAATATATAGATACGGAAAAGTGGTGCTAATGTGCAAAAATACTGACTTCAGTGATCTACTAATGAATGACTTGGTCCCAAGTCCACGAATTTGTCGTCTAAAATAATTATTGTACGCATTGTTGATAGGTAGAAATCAATCTCTTATATTTAATTGTCATGCAATTATTTATCTTTCTTTGATTGATGACTAAAGTTATTCTATCATTGTTTTATATAAGCAGCACCACTTGGCTGTCATGATATTTCTTTTTTTATAGGAAAGCAATTATTATATTTTGTTTTTGGTTAAACTATAAAGTAGCTAATCCTACATTTTAAAGAACACTATGCATTAAATGACTGGGTTTCGAGGACCAAATTTTGCCGCCGACCCCTCAAACCACATACCAGTCTATTTTCTTTTGGTCTAACAAACAGTTTGATTTGGTCCAAATGCCTAAGAAGCCAGTCAATATACTTTTTACTGTTCATAATAGCATAGTTTGAGCTGGCTTCACCTTAAGCTTGCATGTAAACTTTGTTAACAAATACAAATACGATTTAGCAGATTCCGCTATAGTGTGAAATAACTACCTCTGGGCGGTCCAATGTCTCATCGACAAGTCTAATATCTTTTTGATTGCTCAAAAAAAAAAAAAAAAAGGATTTGAAATGTAAGACGTTTAGTGTAGATTTATACAGAAAAAAAGTCTTAGAAGTATGACATTAAACATTTATCAACTGGATTCGAGGGCAACATACGTTTTTTTCGGACCCAAGAACCAAACTGTTTGCCTGAGGCTGTTAGGCAAATGGCAACCAGTTTGGTCCGAGGGGTCGACAAAACGCATTTTGTTTAAGAACACAGTTAATGTTTTATTTAGTATTTTACTTTTTCTTTTGACATATCTTGCGCTGGCTTTCTTTTTGCGATAATTGAAAAAAAAACATTATTCCGCCTACAATGTGACGTACAGACGTTCAATGTTTCATCAACAGGTCCAATATCTCCCTTGGCGGTTTCACTTTGATTTTATTTATTTATTTTGGACTGCTCAGGAAAAACATTTGAAATGCTTGACTTTTAAGTATAGATTTATATAGAAAACAATTTTTAATGTTTTAAAAATGTTGTTTATCACAACTTACTAAAGACTTGCATTGAATTATTCAGAGACACTCAAGCACTTAGGCAAAGCATAATTTCATTTTGACCACAATAAACATGCAGGTAGCATCATCTTGACATTACTTTGTCGGCAGGATTTCTTTATTGAGCCGCAAGTCGTGAATTCTCTATTTTCAGGGTACGGTATTACATGTATACTGTACATTTTATGGTTGTTACATATTGCGTCAGCGTTTTATCCCTATGGACTTCAAGTTTGCCCTTAACTGATACTACAAACTTAGATAATCAAATTTGTTGCTCCGTTCAAAGCTCCAATAATCTTTTATCGCAAGTGTGCCTACAACTCATACCTAAAGATAGTAATTTAAAAAAAGCCCTAAAATACTGTATTTGGAATATTGTAAGCAATCATGGGTTGGTTTAAAACCTAAAATACAGAATTAATTGTTTATCAGTACTTGGAAGATAATTCGTTTGTCGTCAAGAGTAGAGATGGTTCTAGGCTAGCTCTTATGTTTGATTAATGTAATTTTCTTATTATCCTGGCCTTCTTGTATCAAAAAATGATAAAACATAATTTTTTACCTAACCCATGTAAATTTGCACAAAAGGTTTATTAGCCACCATGCTCAAATGCCATTTACTTATAACGCTTATAATGATTTTACAAACTACGAATGTATTTACAGGGATTTCATGCTAACTTTAAAGAAATCTGAAATTTAGAATTAAACAAAATTGAAAAAAAGTTAACCTTATTAATAAAATATCAAATTCATTGATTTAAATTAACAGTTGGGAAAGCTTACGGTATTGTCCAAAATAAACTAGGTCTAAATGAATTTGGTATTATCGGAAGTAAACAAACATTGACACTATTATAATATTATTCATCCGAGTAATAGATAAACAGTTTCAAAATGCTTTACCATTATATTTAATTTGTGTAGAAAGATCTTCATATTACTTTAATTTGTTTGATTTAGCGTGTGTATCTTTTGACCATAGAAATTTCTGGTCTCTATATTGTTGTTCTAAGCGCACTGCGCCCTGAGACCTCGACTGGCAGTAAACTACTAGACGGCGTCACGTCTAA